CCCACTTAAATGAAAATAAAGGTTTTCAATTTACATATTTCTAATTATCCTTATAAAATAGGATTTACTTTGCAATCATATTCCAGTCATATTTAATCAAAACCAATTATCCCAGACATTAGAAAAACCAATCTATTTATTTTCTTCAGTCACAGTCTTACTCAATCTAATCTACCATAGACAGCTACGTATTTTTATTTTATTTTATTGAAACCTTTTCCTATGATTTTGTGACTCAGACTACGAAACCATTCTTTTTACCACTGCCTTGTGCTTCAGCATGGGACATTTTATCCTAAACAGCCGGACATGGTTAATCCTGATAAATCCTTTGGACATTCCCAGTCTAAACTGACAAGAATATAGATATCAGACTCTATAAATGATGACGGTCAAGAGGTAGCTGGCCAGAATGACCTTTGACTTGATCTGAGACTATTACGGCTATCCAGGGTGAAGGTAGAAGATAATTCATCAGGATTAATAACCGACAACTGACTGTGGGAAGAAGGCATTGCGCAATGGCAGAGGCAATTGAAGATATGTGAGAGATTTGACATTGGGAATGAAATCAGAGAAATCGCTCTTTACTCTGTGGAAAATGCTTGCAGCAAGATGTGCTTTTGGCATTTCCCCCCCTCTCTCTCTCTCTCTCTGTCTCTCTGTCTCTCTCTCTCTCTCTCTCTCTCTCTCTCCATGGAATATTTAGAGAAACATTTGATGATTTACTGCCTTGATACTTTTCACTGAATGGCCCACAAATCAATTGGAATGGAAATCCTAAAGGTAAGAATTTAGTTGCTGGGGACTCTTTGGACACTCTTAGGGGATTAAGAAAGAGTTTTCACCAATTTAATGAATATTTAAGTTGGGAAAATTAATACAACTAGGGATTATGAGGTATAAGGTTCAATACCATACACTTACCAGAAAAGTAATTAATACATTTAAATTAATACAAAAATCAAAAATAGTCAAATATATTTTATATAAGTATAAATGTACATATGCACACATGAACGAATATCCTACAAGCTTTATTCATACTGCAAGATTTTTACATCTATTGAAAAGGAATTAATTGATGGATATATTTGAAGGAGAAAATAATAATTTCTGAAGGAAATTAAAACAGAGAGAATTTAGTATGCTATAAGAAAAACCTATATTACTCAGTTATGTGCAATATGCGATACATGCTTAGGTGATCATGTATTTTTTGATACATGACTGACGAGGCAGATTTTTTCCCTCAGTAGGTTGCCATTTCTTTCTGCAGTAGACAAGTTGCCATCCAAAGCTATAGAACCCGGTCTGTCCTGCTATTTACCCATTTAGTTATTCACCAAAGAATTACTTACATTCTTTTATATTTTAATCATTTTTTTCCAATAACAATAATATTTAACTTATATTTTAAAATAATATTTATTCATAATTCAAATAAAAATCATTTTTTGAATTGATACTGCACTTTGTTAATATTATTTTATTTTTTATTAAGCAAATTTAGCAACATTTTAACTCTTGTCTGTGATATTTTTATAAAAGTTTAAGCTGGGCTATAATGAAACTGAAACTACAATGAATATGATTTCCTCATTTCAAGACAATGCTGTATGAAAATAAATTGATGAGATTTCACTTTAAAAATTCAGGGGAGGATGTTGACTAGAATCATCAAGCAATAATTTGAAGGCTTTGATAGAAAATGAACTCAAAATCTCTGAGAAAGAACACAAGGCAAACATTACTATCTTGATTAAATCTATTTGAAATGTTTCCAAAATGAATGTCAAGAAAAACTGAATAAATTTGAATTAAATCAGGAACAGAATTAAATCCGAGATGTCTATATTGAACATGTTTCATGGAAATAAATTGTTAAATCTTTCTATTAGGCTATCAATTATTTTTATGAAAAGTTGATTTTGTATAATAAACAAAGATGTCTACACTGGATGGATGTGGATGAAGCATCAACTACAACCACATCATAGAATATCTTAATGAACATTCTATGGCAAAGATGTATTTCATACTTCCTAATATCCATTATAGCTAAACAGTGAACACATAGATAGGTAAAATAGAGAGTTTTTTTTGTTTTTTTTATCTGAATTTCTGGAATGAAGTTTTATCATTATTTACATTTGGGCTAATATCCTTATCTTTATTATTATTACATAGTGATAGTAACAAAGATAAAGATATTCTATTCCTTTCCATTATAAATAAATACAGGGTGCGATGGATAAATTGTCACAATTTTATATCTTTAATTTCATGCATACTTGTTTTTTTTTTTATTTTATCAACTGCACAGTATAGTAGGATTAGTTGGCTACCATCTGTGAAAAAAAGAGCACCTTACACAATTCACTCAGCCAGAAATTTGGAAACAGCATGCTGTACTGCTTAGCATTCATGCTAGAAGCTCCAATACAAAACTTTCAGAGTGTTTAGATGTCAATCTGAGGACAGTGCAGAGGATTCGGAAAGAGTTGGATGAGTCTAATGGTGATTACTAAGGTACTGCAGCTTGGAAAACTCACTTTAATCATTCTGATCAGAAAAGAACTCCCAAATTTGTTGGTGAGGGCCTCAGACTCAACACGGAGGCTTACATCAAGTGCCTTGAGGAGGTAGTGCTGCCCTGGGTCAACAGGGTGGTTGCTGGAAGACCCTATGTCTAGCAAAATGCCACACAAGCAGGAGAACTCAGTCATGGCTGTCAGACAATTTCTGCAACCACATTGCCAATTACATCTGGCCACCTAACTTCCCAGACTGCAACACCTTTGATTATTGTTTGTAGGGCACAGTTGAGCAAAAGAACAACAAAACTCTTTGTAACACTAAAGGTGAACTGAAAGCAAGGATTCTGGCAGCATTCACCAACTTAAATAAGGAGACCGTCCAGAAGAGTTGCAGGAGATTCTGAAGTTACCTGGAGGCTATGGTTGAAGCCAATGGCGGTTTTATTAAATAAACTTGCTCTTAGTATTTCAAGATATTTTTGTTTAATTTTGGTAAATATATCTGTTAAAATGAGATGTCATTCATTTTTGCATAATTTAGGCAACAATTTATCCATCACTTCCTGTATATGGAAACCAAATCAGAATATATCTTGATTGGGTATTATCTATTTCTCTATAATTTTTATAGTTTATCTCATTTATATAAATTGACACATATAAGTTAAAGAACATTAAAATAAATTAAATTTTGTCATTTAACAGCAAAATCTTATTACTAAAAAAAACATCATCCAACTTCAAATAATATCTTTTTAATATTTTAATTATAATATTTAATATTTCTATTTTAATATTCTGAATAAACATTCAAAAATTAATATTATGTCATTGAAGTTAACTTAATAATCTTTCTATCTACATTTGGTACATGTAACGATGTGTTGGAACATGCATTTAGTGTAGTTATGGGTACAAAATGTAGAATTGGCAGGCCAAGTTCAAATTCAGGTTAAGTCTGTTCCATTCTCTTCATGCTATGCTCTTGGAGAAGGCACAAATCCATTTATTCTTCTCTCTGGCTGAGGGTTAAATAGTAAGGTAGACAGATATCTCTAGCCTTGTGTGGCAACCAGTCTAAGAACTACACTAAATGCAGAACCATAGAAAAGACAACAGAAAACCACACCACTATTGTTCTCAAGAAGTCATGGTAATTCACAGATAATAAAAAACAGGAATTTGTGGATAAACATGATTGCTTCCATCCTGGAGGGACATAGTATGAAAAAAAGTTACTAGGTATTACCTGTATAAGACCCTATTCCCTCTGATAGTAATGCTGGAATTATTTTTTTGATGCTGGACTGTAGTTTTTGATTTTGATTTTGATTGCATAATATAATGGTTGAATGCTATGTTTTCTTAAAAGAACTTCAAGGTTCAAAATTACAAAACATGACTGATTTATTATTTTTTTTACTAGAAACATTTATTATTTACTAGAGACATCTATTATTTTTACTAGAAACATTTACTTTTTTAATGCAAAAAGAAAATGACTAACACTATGTGTGGGAAGGGTTAAAAAGTGATAACATCACTTATCAAGGAAAAGAAAAGATAAAACTTTATCTGTGTAGAACTGGGGTTCAAATGCAGTTGCCGCTAAAACACAGCAATGGTTATTGTCGCTTTTTTATTCTTTTTTTCTTTACTGACAGAATTTTCTGTTTCTAATAATTAATAATAAAATATTTAATAAATAATCCATAGCCTTTACTGGGCACAAGCAGTCTCCATAAGGACAAATAACAGGTTTACTAAATGCCAAAAAATTAAAAAGAAGAGTGTGACACAGATGCTTTTTCTCACCAGATTTATTTAACCTATATAGCAAGATGATCCAAAGAAAAGCAAGATTTACTTTCAGCAAACAAAATCTTAACAGCATAAGTTACAAGGATGATACAGTGTTGATGGCAAGATCAGAAATGGAATTTCTAGGATGAGGAGTTATCATTATTAACATGATTTACATTTGAATTAATATCCTCATCTTTGTTGTTATTATCACAAAATTACATAAGATCAACAAACACCTGAAAAAGATTGGAGTGCACAACAAGTGAAATAATAACAAAAAAGATGAGACTATTAGTCTAAATGTAAATAATGAAAATTTACTTAGTTGCATAAACTATAAATAACTTTCAATATGAGATCATATAATCATGATTTTGCTGGGATTTTAATTGATTAATTTATTCTCTGTGGCTTTGAAGGTTATTTAAAGCCAGAAAATATTTTTAAATTGTAAAAAGTTTTTTTTTTTTAGATGATGATTTAGCGATATAAGTCTTACTAATTAACCCATAGTTAGCAGAGAAGAGGTGGAGTCATACCTTTCTCAAGGTTAGTTGCACATAAGTGAATATAACAAACCCAACTGGAATCAAAACTCAGCTCTCCAAATAATAATTCCATACCATTATCCATTACACCACCCACATATCCAAGCTTACATCACCTGGTGTTCCCAAGCAATCACCCATCTAGGTACTGATCAGGCTCAATGTTTCTTAACTTTGGTGATTATATGGGAGCCTGTGTTTCAACATGATGTGGTTGTAAGCATGATTTGAGTTGCCATACAGGAATTAAAGTGTAAGACAAAACAATCAATATTTGTTATAAAAATATTCAACAATTCATAAATGATGATCATTTCTATATTTTAATTCTAGTAACTACAAAAACACAGAATGCACGGTCATCAGTAAAAGGATAAGCCTGAAATGTGATTTGCAGGTCGGGGACACTAAAATCAAACAGATGTTTAAATATCTGGGTAGTGTTTTCACAAAGGACAGTAAGTTCAACGCTGAGATCAGTAGACATATTGTGATGGCCAAGGATGCATTCCAAAAGCTAGGCAGAGTATTGCAAGACAAGAGGATTTCTTTGGTGACAAAAAAAAGAGTACTGAGCTGTTACATGACTATTGTCCTCCTTTACAGCAGCAAATGTTGGACGGTCTCCTCAAAGATGAAGAAGAGACTCAAGGTGACAGAGATGAGGTTCTACAGAAGGATGCTGAAAATATCATGGACTGACCGTGTGAGCAACGATGAGGTCATGGAGAGGATGCAAACAAGGAGGAGGCTTATACTTAACATCAGGAAGAGGCAGGTAAAGTTTCTGAGACACGTAATGAGGGCCTGGAAAATCTGATATTCACAGGTCAAATAGAGGGAAAGAGAGACAAAGGAAAGCAACACATGACATACCTGGCAGGTTTAAGCAAGTGGATGACAGAACGTGGTCTGGAGGAGGTGGCAGAGAGACAATTTATTGAGAGCTACAAGGGATAGGAGAATTGGAGAGCCATGATCCCCTACATCCTGAAAGGACATGGTACATAAAAAGAAAGAAAAGAACGACTCTTTTTTAAATCAGTTTCATTATCTATATTCAAAGTCCACCAAGTATTGCATAGTTATTTAAGAAAAAAACTTCAGCTTTTAAAAATTTGTACTGAATCAACAAGGAACATCATTCTGAATCAATTTTTCTTGCTAATTTAATGTCGAGACCAAGTAATCTTATTTGCCAAAATTGAAAAAAATCTCCTTTCAGCTATTTTTTTTTTAAATTTAATTAAACATTTGCAGTCTTTAGATAATTTGACTTAAGATTAAAGTGGAAAATTATCAGGAAATTTCATTGAAATTATATATTGTATTGAAAGATTTAATATGTGATATTAGAGGACCTTGTAGTCACAAGTGGAGTCATATTACTCCATCTTATCTAAAAACACACAAAATCAAGATGCTTACAGATTCTGCTACTCTGTTCTTGATAAATGTTTTAAAGACATAAAAGAAAATTTTCTTGCCACAAAGTTTTGCTCCATTTAGCATTGATATTGTTGTTGTAATGAAGTCTCAGCAATTTCCAGTTTGAACGTTATCTTTCACCATCAGCTTTTAGAGGAACTACATAAAGCTGGTTGTAAGTAAATCCAATGAGCTGTTTGTTTATGATTCATGTGTCTATAACTAAGTGAGTACGTTCATACATCACAATATCTTGTTTTGAGCTTTTTTTGAGTAAAATATACAAAATAATGGGTTCATTTTGTTTTCGTTCTCAATCTGAATAAGGTGAATCATACAAACCTGACCTCTGAATGTTTCATGGATACTGAACTCTGTATTTTAAATCACAGTTTTGCTTCAAATGACTGGAATTGTGTTTCCTTGGCTTTCTTAAAACACTTGAGACTGTTACTTTTGAAAGGTGTATATCAGTAATAAATTAGATGAATGCCTCCTAGGTATATCATTGATACTCTATATAAACTCTTCAGACCAAACATTCATTTTGTTAAAAAATATACAGAAATCTATCTATCTATCTATCTATCTATCTATATATATATATATATATATATATATATATATATATATATATATTGTAAAATAAAAAGAACTACCCAACCCTCTGCCCTGGAAAGGGTATAACTCTTTGAGCAATTTATGCGACATTAATATATACATATAAGAAGTAGAAACAACAATGTTAATACTGTGTGACAACAGTCTGTTTCATGCTTGAACACAATTTTCATGTCTGAAGATTGTTTTCAAGCATAAAACAGACTGTCACCACTTGGTGTTTGCATCAATGTCCACATTTCTTAGATTTACACAGGTTCTATTCTGGATATTAAATACTTTTACTCTATAAACACATCATACCTTAAAAAAAATTATATATATATATATATATATATATATATATATATATATATATATATATATCATTTTTATTTAAAAATTATAACATAAAAATGTTCTAAAAAAACTACAAAAATAACCATTTTGTTTTAACACTTCTGGTGTCTTCTCAAATGATGGTGTTGAATATATATATATATATATATATATATAGTGATTTTTTTGAGATCTTGTGTTGTTATATATATATATATATATATATGTTTTTTATATATATATATATATATATATATATATATATATATATATATATATATAGTGATTTTTTGAGATCTTGTGGTTTTATATATATATTTAAATCATTAACCTCTATATTTGTTTTTTGTATGAATGATTCATGAATTTGTAAATTATAATTGCACCTTTTAATTGAAATTAAAATAACTGATGCAACGTGCAACTCTCGGATAATAAGTGTGACATTACTGTAATTATTGAACAATATAGTTCATGCCATATTCACAGAAAATCTACCAGTAAAAAAGAATTCTCTTATTGCTTTATTTGTACAAAAATGCACAACCTTAAAATTTAAATTCAAACTCAGCATTGCAACCGCACGTTCCAAAACAATAACACATTTCTCATAGCATTTTTTCAGATTACATCTCTATTTTCGTTGTCCTCTTATTACTGAGAAGTAAAAACAAGAACAAAATCTACTTCCATACCTGATGATATCTGTAAGAACAGACAAAAGCTTGTAAAAAATTAAAAAGACCTTCTGCAACTGGAATTTATAAACAGGGATCATATCATTCATATACAGGTTCGGGGTTGATGTATCTTATTTATATTGTTTTGCGACAATGTATTCTTGCCATTTAAATCATTAACCTCTATATTTGTTTTTGTATGAATGATTCATGAATATATATATATATATATATATATATATATATATATATATATATATATATATATATATATATATATATATATATATATATGATTACTTTTGTACATTTACTTATATATGCCAAGTGTATAAGTAATTTTTCAGAGTCTGTCTATATTTCTGAGATGAGGTATTATGTACATTATTTACACTATTCGGACTATTGTCGTCATCTTTGTCGCCATATTTATCACAACATTTCGACCATTGTATGCTCCAGCCTTCTTCAGGTGGTTGGAATTTCGAACTGAACCCTTTATTTCGCTCACTGGGGTAGTCTGTTCCTCAAGGACACATGGCACAGTGGATAAAGGCGTTGGTTAGATCCAGTGACAGGACCCAAAGAGTGTGAGTTCAATATCCGGTTAAGGCAGTGGAGAACTTTCAGAGGGAAATTAGCAGGAGATAACTGATAACTGACATCCATCAATCATGGCACGTGGAACTAGAACAGTCTACCCCAGTGAGCGAAATAAAGGGTTCAGTTTGAAATTCCAACCACCTGAAGAAGGCCGGAGCATACAGCAGCCGAAACGTTGTGATAAATATGGCGACAAAGATGAGGACAATAGTCCAAATAGTGTAAATAATGTAATTTTTTGTCTATCTCAGAGTTATCTTTCTTGCAATATCAATGTCAAAAAGCATTGCCAGTGTAATGTCTTTGTTATGACAATGCCAGACTGTTCCAAGATGCTTATGAAGACAGGAAGTGAAAAGACAAATTCTGCAAAAGAGTAGGGTGCAACAATAATAACTAGAAAATAAATTTGTGGACTCATGCATAAAAAAAAACCAGCAGCAGTCAGGTACTAAGAAAATAAGCTGTCATTTTTGACAGCCTGGGTAAACTGGTTCATTTTAATAATTACCACTCTTCTCATTAAAAGTTAAGAAAGTCATTGTTACAGCTAGAAAGAAATATAATTACAGTACAGCTTGAAAATTTGCTGCACAGGATTTGATGCCACAAGAAAATGTATAAAGAAAGAGTAGCAGAATGATTACAGATTATGCTTGACCTCATTTTCCACCTTTCCATGGTGGAAGTGGCTAATTTTATCCAAGGCTGAATTAAGCCCTACAATGGTACCCACAAAAGCCTTCCCCTGATAAAAAATAAGTCTAGGGTCATTGCTTTTAACTTGGTAATAAAATATATTAATATAGTTAAAATATCTATCTTTAAATGCTTTAAAGTAATTGAATTCTTAAGAAATTCATGAACTCACTTCATGCTAGACATTAAAATAAACAATTCGGTTGATACTTCAAGAACTTATTAGGCCAATTAATGAACATGAGCAATTCTTGACATCCAGGAACATATAAAATAGTGTTATTTTCCAATGGACAACTTGTCCTTTAAAAATATGCATGGTAATCTTGTTTTTAAAGTCCCTACAAAAAATACTTAACAAAAAAAATAATTTATATTGTTCAGATTGTTGTCCTTATCATTTCAATAAATATTTAATATGGCAATAAAGATGAGGACAACAGTTCAGGCAATGTGAATAACATAAATAATTACAATACTTCACCTCAGATATATAGACAGATAAAAAAAAAAATAATAAATATTTTATTAATTTTTTTGCAGTTTCATGCTGTGGTAGTGCCTTCTCTTTCAGTGCCCCCTTTCTCATTTGGTGCCCCCCCTCTCTCTTTTGATGCAGCCTTACCTTTTGGCACCCTTTTCTCATGAAGTGACCTCAGTATCTACCATTTTATTTCATGTTTCTCATATAACTTAAGCAGTGGCCATAAAGGAAAATAGGCTTCTAAGGTGTGGAATGTTCAATTTTCATCTAATACACCATCTTTATTTTGAAATTCACACTGTTCACTTGACAAAAGTGACTTCCTACAATCTAAAATGTTTCACCTTTAAATAGCTCACATAGGTTAATAAAAAAAACATAAAA